TTTTCGCTGCTCTTTCGAAGTCAACAAAATCATAGAACAAGACAAAAGAAAGAAAATTGTACTTCTACTTGTATCACTATCACTCTTTTTTTTTCATTTTAGAGAATTTTTTTTTCATGACAAACCATCACAAGTTTTTCTTACATCACCATCTTGTGATCATGTCCTTCTTAACATGTTCATTCTTGCTCAGATGTTACACTATTCTGTGTATTACCTCACCTTGGTAGTTATGTTTTCCTTCTTGCTTTCATGTTAAACTTAGCCGTTGTGAGGTTGTATTGCAATACTGTGTTGCGTAATATCTTGCTGTCTGGTCTTATCTAGGGGGCCTGACCAATGGTAGGGCTGCTAGAAGCATGATGTAGTCAAGTCAGGCTAGCACTTCAGTTGTGGATGACTGTTTAACTTTTTCTATCCATGTTTTAACAACAAAAAATGTTGCTGAGTGTACCCCTTCTTTTAGATTGTTACGCAGTCGTTTTACCAAAAGTTTTCGTCAAATGATGACGTCATTCCCCTGCTATGCGTTTCTTTGTTGAGATATGAGGGACATTATTTGCGTAGTTTCTGAAAGAAGGTAATAATCTACCAGCACAATGCTTCAAGGTGTGCAAAACATATGACATCATCTGAGGGGGAAGACTTAAAAATACATTATCTAGATTCTGGTGCCAGTTTTAGACTTGTTACGTTAAAAAGGAACAAAGTCCGTTGGACAGAATGGACTTTGCTTTGTTTTTGTGTCTTGCCTGGGCTAGTTATTTCTTTAATACATTGCTAGTTGTTTTTCTGTGTAATTGTTACATAAAGTGTTTTTTGTTATATCAAGTACCTTTAGTTTGGTATGCTAAATGATGTGTAATGCATAACAAAAGCTGATGAGTCAAATTCAACATGTTTTGTTACCAGCACTTCAAGAAAGCTCTTGTCCTCCTACTGTTAATACATTCATAGTTCAAAATTCATGGTTTGACTTTGAGCCAGCTTGGTATACGTAGTACCTTGACTTTTGTGGCGCCTATGAAAGTGTTTTGGTCTATCGCAGGATGCCTTTTCTTTCAGTATCATTTTGCTACATTTAGTAGCCAGCTGGCTTCTTTTTCTTTTCTGCCTGGTCAATTCGATACTGTCTTGTACTAAGTAGCCACCAAAAGATCTGCTTGGAGGTTATAATTGGGAGGTCTGACCTTACATGTACCTTCTTTTCCAGACCAGAAAAACAGGCTCATATGTTGTCATAATAAAATAGCTGTCTATCTACATATATTAGGTAGTGTACGTACAGGTAATTTATTGCAATGGCCTGGGGCAGAGGCGGGGTGTTTCTCAGTAGCTGAAATACCTGTCTGAGTCGATGTCTGTATTCTCAATCTCAGGATTGAATCTGATCACAATAAGTTAAACTGGAAGATTGTGCTTAGTAGACATACTTAAATGCTCTTTGTAAACATGTACATAGTGATATCTGAATCACTTTAAACTTTTAGAAAGTTGAGATGTCATTAATTTGACAATGGACAAACTACAAACTTAGAGTTCAAAAATACATAGAGAAACAAGAAAAATGCCTGTCACAATAGTCATCACAGGTTTTGATAGCAAACTGTTTTCAGTATAATCGGGTACTTCAAGAGTCAAGAAAACTAACTCAAGATTTAGTTTCTCACTAAGGACATTCACTTAAAGCATAAATTTTATCTATTCTAAGTCTTCTTGTGGTTACTACTTGTTTTTTCAATGACTCACTGATAACACTAGAAAGTTGGCACTAGCTTCATCAAGCACAAGTGGATAATGTTACAGATAAAACCTCTGAAACATAAACTTTACATGCCTCATCACCCGAATTAAACCATGATCCGCTACCGACATTCCAATAGCAAACCACACCGACAAAAAATAGAAAGTCCACAGTCCTGATTCAAAATAAACTGGGAACACGATGGCACACTGATTATAAGGTAAACTTTCCCACGCTTTCTCCTAATCAAAAACATGTTAGACTTGGATTGAGTAAAGGAGAAAATATGTGGGTTGTAGTTGACACATTCCAGCGAGTGAGGGCTCAAACAAACATGGTCAGTAGTGGAGATAATGTTTAACCTACATGCAAGTGTGTAATCAGCTGGTGGGACTTTCCATGTGTAAGAGGGGGGGGGGTCATTTTGAGTGGCTGGAAAGTTTTTGTGTGATCCAGTAGTGTTTCACAAAAGTTTGAAAAGTCATGCAACTTTGCTGACAATGCTAAATATAAATGTTTCATCTTTGCAAGGAAAACAATTTGTATGAAGCGTTTAATTTTTTGTACACCAACTTTTACATTCATGAATGGTTTAGTCTATCGTGTACAACAATCTTGGGTTGTGCAATGCTACATGCAAAATGTTTTTCTCTTTTATATACAAGTTATTTTTGGAAGTCATAGCTTGTTTTACTGGTTATTCAGGAAACTAAGATTCTTCCGTTCCGTTCCCGTCATGTCCGTTGAGTTTTGTGCAAATCCTGCCAAGTTTATCGAAGGTTGGTTATTGACTCAAAACAGCTGACGCCAGAGGCAACTCCGGACATGTCCCTCGAACAATGGAACGTTCCAGGTAAACGTTGTGCAACCCACTCACCTGACTACCATATAAGGGCATCCTGTGACGCAGGGTAGTCCCCTTACTCCCATGGGGCATTGCTTCATCAGCAGTTATTTTTAGACACCTGAGACTACGCATACATAATTAGCCTCATATAAAAGCTGGGGGCACAAGAGTTCCGGTGAGTTTGGTCAGTCTTGGAGTAAGAAGCAGTCGCTACAATGGTGGTACAACAAGTCACAGGCATGACAAAGGAGAGAGGTACACACGATACTTGTTTTGTTGCTACGCCCGGGTTGAAGCATTGTAGCGGCTAAGAGGACTGGGGGCTTGTTTGTCTGCGTTGTTTTTTGGTCGCCAAAAACTTTGTTGTCTTGTGGGGCAGAGTAAGATTTGAATTTTTTTTCCTTGCAGGTTTTTTAAAGCACTCCTATTTTAGAGTCTTAGAGTTCTCATGTGGTACAGTAAGATTTGATTGAAGTATCTTTCGTCCAGTGAAATGTTTTTAGTTTTTGTTGTTCTTTTAGAAGTGAAAGACTGACAGTGGAACCAGTTTCATTTTTGTAGGATTGGAAGAAAGATATGCTGAAACCGTTATAGTCTATTTTTCATTGGGTAAAAGTAGTAACTGTAGTACTAGTGGAGGTAGTGTGTTACTTGCTTTAGACACTTTTGGATTTGGTGTTTTGAATTTTGCTGGCATATGTTTTTAAGCATGGGGGGGGCAAATCTTACCATTGTACACATAGCATTATTGATTCAGTTGTGAACCGAGATCTCATTTGTTTAGAACAAGTGTAAGCTGGAATGGTTTTTAAAAGTATACACCGTTTGCCCTAAGAAAACAACTTACTTCTGACAATATTTTTTCTGCTGTATAAATTGCGATTTTTTTCTTCATGACAAGTTCAATTTTCAAGTTTTTTAATGTGTAACAGCTTTAATTTTCCTCCCTTTTATTGTAAAAAGACTTCATTAAAGTTAAAGTTTGAAATCCTCACTGCTAAGACAGAACTTAAGACACATGTGCATCCTATCTGGAGAGCAAGTAGTCTCTTTCTGGCCTATCCTCATTGTTTTTCCAAGGAAAAATGATCTAATTCTATTCAAGATGATGACATCATTGCTGATATTGGGTTTGATGCTGAACAAGTCTTGTCAACTCGTCATGGGGATTTTCAGCCCTAAGCCTTCCACCCCCTTACGTCAAGAATGGGATCAGATTTCCCACATGTTTGCAGTCTTCTTTTGGCTCATCCCATGCGAAAATAGGGGGTTCCTGTCCGGGCTGTTTAGTCATGAGAATTGGACAGGAAGTAGTTTTCTGCCTTTGTTTAGTCAAGTAGAAAATGGCTTTTGTTAGTCATGAGCCGTACAAGCACCTGTCTAGCTTGTACAAATTACTTCCTCGTGTTTGCAAAATCATCAAAAACAGATCTTTTATTCTTCAAACCACTATTTTTATAGATTTTCCATCATTTTGGTTCATGTATATGTGTAGTACATGATTAGCTATCAGAATTTAAAGGCGTATTTCTAATGAGTTGGAGGGTGCCAAGTAAACAAAGTACATGTTTGTTTTTGTGTTGTCAGCGAAGTAGAAAATTGGTAGTTGATTAGTCATAGCTGTCTGGGAGCCATAGATCAAAATATCCTGCTCTGACATCATGATTTTTACAAGCAAGTATGTAGTCTTTTGTTTTGGGGGCACAAGGAGACAATACATGTACAGGGTGTCCGGAGTCTTTCACAGAGAGTTGTCCTGGGTCAGTTGGTGTTCATCAACTTTTTTTGTTGCTTTCTCTTTATCATTTAACCTTGCAAGTTGAAGCTGAATTACTGTACTGTAGTTATTTTCAGTTTTCAGAAGACCTGTTGTTTTAGAAAAACTATAAACCATAAGATTTTTTTGTCAAAGTGTTTTTCCTTTTTTTGCTGTTTCATTCTGACTATATCTACTATCTATAGACATCCTGTTATTGTCGCATTAATATTTGATAGTTTTATTGATGACTGTTTGATAGACAATTGTCTGGGATGACGTTTGGAAACACATTTCCTGTGTGAATCTGAGAAAGAAGTGTCAAAAGCAATCATTGTGCTTTTTTTCTGTATCTGAAGTGATTCAGACTTTAATGGGTATTGTAAAGTCTCTATATATGTATATAGTACAAACTCATATATTAGTGACCACCTCAGAGTCTACATAATAAGGACCACTTTGTCACCTTTTGGTGGTAACTTACTTTTCCCATTGACACAAGCAATTTAAGAATCTTGTCTATACTTAGTAACAGTTTTCAAGTGATTCTAACGTAAATTTATTGATCATTTTACTCTTCTTCTTCAACAGTTGTGATCCACTTTTTAAAGTGTTTTTTCTAATATAAATCTCTTTTTGTCATTCTTCCACAGTTGCGATCCAGAGGAAGGTAAGGCGACACCGTTCCGCCATGGAGGGCAAGACGGCAGCAAGACCGGAGCTGAGGAAGGAGACCAGCGTTCCGCTCGGGCGCGAGGAGATCCAGATCGTCCTGGACCGCTTTCTCCAGCGTCACCTCAGCATCCACGACAAATCCCCGCTCGGGCAAACCATGGCAGATGCCGTGAGCCCGACAAGTCCACTGACGCCAACGCCCGGAGCGAGCGGCTTCAGTTCTCCAGCAAAGCCGACGGCGAATGGTTTTTCTCCGAGTGAGCACCAGAACGGACACGCCGGATTCAAACGCACGGGAAGCTTCGGCAAGGCCCTGGAGCAACCGGTCATCGATTCTATAACTCGCAGACGAACGTGGGACAGCAACAGACACAACCGTGTCAACCAGGAACAAACCGACGACACAAAAGCCACCGAGGAACTCAAGAAGAAGAAATCCGGGTTCCAACGCTGGCTGAAAAGCGTGTTCACGTACGAGAGCTCAAAGAAAAGCAAGAAGAAGAAATCAGAAGAGAGCAAACATGACTCTGAAGACGGGAACCTAGACGCACACCACCAAAAGGGCGCGAAACCAAAGAGAACTGAAAGCTTCAGCAAGTCGCTAAAACGTCGCTTCAGCCTCAGGCGAAGCAAACACAGCCCTAAAGACTCCTCAGACTCTCAGTCCCCGGGAAGCGACAGTTCGATAAAACTCCATGGCGTGTACATGTCCGCACCAGCAAACGGAGACCGCCACAGCACAGACACGCTGCAATTGGACGATTCAACGGAGGAAGAGTCACCGCAGTCTTCCTACCGTACGCGCTCCCTGGACCCAGACGAAGTGTTGGACCCCAGGACGGCTGCACCGGGCGGGGCCACCAGACCCACCACCCTCGGTCTGGCCTCCGTACACCGGCCTGGAGGTCTGTCTTCAGAGGTCGTCATCGACGGACTAGACAGTCCAGGTAAGACAGAAATTTCTGTAGTGAATAAATGGTAGAACTTAGACATCCTATAGTAAAAAAATGCATATGGCAATTCTATCATGTATGCTACTAGAAGGTCCCTTTCCACTCATAGGAGCATAGGGGTGGTGCCCATCTCTATTTCTGTAGCCCTTGGGCCACACAGTTGTGCAAGCACTACAGCAGGGGGCTTAGATGCTGAGTGCCAAGCAGAGAAAGCAGTATGTGCCATGTTTAAGTCTTTAGTATAACCCAGCTGGGGTTTGAACTCAGGACCTCCCGGTTACAAATTGAGCACTCTTAATCTTACCGGTTACAAGTTTACAACATTGTTTCTTTGCTTCTTTCAAGCAGATGGGAGGAGGACACCAGATGAGCGTACACAGGAGGAAAGGGAGAAGTTACTAGACATGATCGCAGCCAGGATAGGACAGATGGGGGACGACATCCTGGAGCGTCACTTCAACTCCCGCTCTCCCAGCCCCAGCTCTGCACCTCAGGGTGCCTCCGGGGGAGGGTCTAACAGTCTAGAAGGTACATGTACTTTTTATATAGTGTACTGATAGACAAAATTTCAAGTATTCTGTTGCAAATGAGCTGATTTTTGTCTGGCTCAAGATCACTCACTCACTCACTGTCCTGGTTTTGATTACATGAAAATTCAATTTCATTTTTCAACAGATTCACACACACATTGGACTTTCGAGCAAGGAGAATATATATGAGCTGAGCAGTGACATTCAATGCTCAGCTCATATATATTCTCCTTGCTCGTAAGTCCAATGATTCTTATAAGTTTCATAAATTTAAATTCACCAGAAATGATATATTAAAACTTATTTTTGGTGGCATTTCTTCTATGTAAGAAGGTACACATACTTTTAATATAGTGTCATAAAAAGATCCGACAACTGACACTAAACCGGATAGTGAGTGAGTGAACTACTTAGCATATTTATTCCAATTTCCTCCATGTCTTGTTTCCTGTGTTCTACAGTTCCCAACAGAACAGCGAGTGGAACAGAGATAACAGCAGTTGAGCAGGCTATGGCCAGCTACCTGTGTGAGCTGCTGGAGAAGAACGATGGGGTCAGACTCAACCATGTAAGTACTACATGAACCAGTAGCCAGGGGTTCTAGTCCCAATTGGAACTGTGATGAGGCTATGTATGTACTGACTTAAATCATTATTCTCCTTCCTTTCTGAACACTCAGGACTGTAATTTCTAAGCAGTCCCTGAGACAGTTGATTTTCTATTTTGACAATGTGCATGTACATTATCTATTTGTGAAAATAATCTATTTGTGTTACTGAATTGATGTAAGAAAACACTCTTAAATTAAAACACAAAATTTGTTATAACAAAAAGTCTCTGTTCACTCAAATGTGTAACTGCACAAAAAGTAAAATTGAATGATATCCACAAGTGTAGGTTGGTTCAGCTTTTTGATACACGTGTAGTATCGTCAAATTATCCATTTATTCATGTAAATTTTTCTTCTAAACAACTAAACCCTGATGTGTTATCATCATGACTCAATATTAATAGCAGACCAGCTGAATGTGTTATATTTCATGAATATTATTCATGATATTATTCATAATTGCCAAAATGGCCCTCAAGCTAGCTCAAAATAAAACAGTTTCACAGTAAATGTCCTTACTGGGGTAAACAAGAAATGGTACACTATTTCTGAATCTCGAGGGGCTAATTATGCCATATACAGAGATTAGACATGTAACTGATACAGCTTAGACTGGCCTTGACAGGCAAATGGCCCAGGGTGCAATTTTGGTACTTCCTAATGATGATGTCATAGTCTGCGAATGGGTCAGAGGTCAAGTTGCAGCTGTTGTTTGTGTGGGTGCCATATATGGTATGAAAAGTAAACAAATATGATTGAATATGATTCATCATTATAGACACTCATTGCATTTGCATAGTGAACCTTAGTACCGTAGTCAAAAGCTATATTGGCTTCATGGTTTTCAGTAGAAAATCTGATGATGTTTGTCAAAATTATAGAACGAAATGTCGGATTCGAAGAACAAAAAGTTAAAAAAAAGACAATTAGAGATGGTAGTCTTTATACCCCCTTCAGACAAATAAAGCTGATGGCTAATGATCACCTTAGTGCTTTTATGATTAATTTTACAAATCAAAATAAAGTCTGGTGATACATTCTATTTCTATTAAAAGAAGTTGAACCCAATAAGTTAGAATTTAGCATAAAAATTTAGACTAGAGTATGCTATTTTGACATAGATTGACATTGTCCTTTCTTTAATTTCAATGTTACATGTACTCGCAACTAGCCTTGAAGCAAGAACTTGCAATAGCAATGACAATGAGTCAATGAAGTTTATTGCATATTCATGCCCCAGTGGGGCTTAAAGCACTACTTTAGTTATAAATAAGGACTAGACAAACTGTGCTATGTTCTATCTACATTGATTATCTAAGCTGTACATGTTTAATAACAAAACTTTATTTCTATTTTTTGTTTCGTGCAGGACAACCAGCCCATCCCGGTCCAGCTGCGTGATGAGATGCGGGAGAACATGACGTACGAACAGTTCAAGGAGATGGCGACCCGCGTGCAGGCCATCGTACATCGCGAGTCCGGGCGGGACATCGAACTGTCACAGCTCGCCATGGTGTTCGGTTTCACCAAGTTCGCTATCAAGACCGTCGGGGTGACAACGGACTACGCGAGGGTCCTCCGTAACTTCTGCTTGGAGTACCTGGAGAACACCTTTGCAGGGTGGATAGCCAGTCATGGATGGGTAGGTTCTGGTGTTTGTCTTAAGGCCAAACCGACTTGATTTTATGGATGACATCCGCACGCACATTTATTTTCACTGCCTGTTCTCAAAAAAAAAAAGCATGTCTTCCGAGGCTCTAGCCTGGCTCTAGATGGCAGTTAGCAACAATACAGAGCCGGTTCTAACTCTGGAGGATGGCACCCAGGCTGCCGAAACTCCACAACTCTTTGGCAGGAATTTTTTTTATTCACTCGTGCGCACTATAGTATGGGGGTCATCCATAAAATTAAGACGCAGTGGCCTAACATGATAGAATCTAACTGATGGCACAATCATTATGTTTCAAAAAGGTGCTACAGGACTGAGAAATTTTGAAAAAAAAGTTATTTGAATTTTGATAATTACAGTTGTAGTTATATACTTGTTATTTTGATTAACATGAATGTTTATTTTTATTCCCTAGGGCCAGCTAACAGAACAGGAACAAGACCCCGATACGGAAACATCCGAGGCAGAATCCAGAGAATCGGAGATTGACTGAGTTTGGCAACGAGAAGCTTTTAGAATGTATATAAATAAGATAACTCATGGTTTACGTATGGGTGAGAGGAAACGTAGCACCTGAATGGTGGCCACACATTCACATAATCAGTTCTCTGGTTTGGGGAATTTTATTATGCAATGCAAGTCTGTTGTAATCACTCTCTCACTCTATCCCATAGTTCACCATGGGAGTTACAACAATTTTATTTCTATACCAATCCCCAAACAACTTGCTATTGTTGCTACAAATGTAAATATACTGTTAACTGGTTTATAGTTTCAAGCCAGTTACTGCATTATAACTGGTGCTACAGTGTTTATAACTATGCATGAATGTGAATATTTGCCTTGATAATTGTTGGCCTTACAAACAGAAAGCACGGAAATTTTTACAAAGTTGAAGTACATTGTTGCTGCAGATTTTAAAGTCTTTCAAAGATTTTTTACTAAAGGCTGATGCATTTTTTAAACATAGTTGTGAAGTAGGAATCTTAGACAATGCATGGATTGTCGGAATGCCAAGCATTTTGTCTGTCCTCATTTTTAAATGGAAAATGTGCAAAAATGTTCCTGATGTTTACAGCAAACTTTGCTTGTAGTATTTCTAGGCCAAAATGTGTTTTTCCAAAGAATCAGTTTTTGCTCTGCTGCATGAAGACTATATTACGATATTGCATCCATGTTACATCTGTTAGACATAGCAAATGCAACTGTATTTTAAGGGCTCTTTTTACCACATGTATTGTGTACAATCTTTCCCAGGGACAAGCATCTACCATAAAAAAAAATTGTAATTAAAAAAAAAAGAAAAACAGTAACAGTTGATATTCAAAATTGTACATACTTTCCTCAGGATCTGATGAAAACAGCAAATCTCTCAACTGGAAAAATGTTTGACATGTTTAATGAGCTATCTCTTTGTGAAAATGCAGCGTTGTTGTACTTATGTGTAAAATATAGCAACTTCAACCAAATTGTGTGTCTAATGGTTTCTTTGGGTACAGCAAACATTTAGAAAAATTCACATCTGTATAAAATAGAGGTATTGTTTGTGTGTTTGTCTGTATGAGTGTATGTGTCTGTGTGTGTGTATGCGTCTCTGTGTGTGTTTGTGTGTGTGTGTGTATGTGTGTGTGTCTGTGTGTGTGTATGTGTCTGTGTATGTGTCTGTGTGTATGTATGTGTGTGTGTGTTAGTATGTGAGTGTGTGTGTGTGTCTTTGTGTGTGTGTGAGTGTGTTTGTGTGTATGTGCGTGTGCATGGGTGTGTGCGTGCCTGTTTGTGTTTTTGCAGTTAGGCCATGTTGATTTGATTATATGGATGACATCCACATACTGGTACATTACAGTACTCCCATCTCTTGTTTATTCAATTCAGTTGTTAAAATACAATTACAGTCTCTATATAGCAACCCCACCTGGCAGCCAGAGGCTGAATTGCAGTGGAGCTGTTTACACATGAGTCAACAATAAAACAATTCAGCATGTCTCCAAATCAAACATATCTTAAAAGATTAAAAGATCTTAAAAAAAAACAAGATTCCTACATTTTCAATTTTTTTCTAATTCTTGATTTGCATACCAACATTGCAGGCATACAATATAGAATTATAATGTTGCCTGAATTGCATGGGTATTGGCATTTTACATTATAAACCTTGCTAAGCAAGAAATGATACCTGATACTGTGGTAGCCTGGCCAGGCCAGTACCTGGTTTTCCGTAAACCCTGCTGTCCCTTTGTGTTAATCCTCAGAAAATGTACAAGACTTGATGAAATATAGATCTTGTTGATGTACAGGCTTCAATGTACTATACACTGTATATACATGTACTAAAATACATCAATCCCTCGCTTTTCCATGGGTGTACTGTTGTGCCAAACAAGCTGCAATACTTAATACATGCTGCTATACTTAATACATGGAATTGATGGTGAGTTCAGCACCAAGGACAGGTCCACACTAAGGCCGCACTACACAGTATTTATGGGCGAACCCCTCAAAAGTAGTCCGGGCACAAAGTAGTGCTGCACAATACTAGAGAAAGGTGCAGAGGTTGTTCTGTGCATGGCATCGAGATGGAACCTGTGGTAAATGTTAGAGAAATACGTCAGTTTTGAGACTGCAAAAGTTTAATTATGGCGCGTTTTCAGTCGGCGTAGGTTTGCGCTAGGATACTTGTCCCGCCTTGTACTCAGTGCGTCGGCTGCAGATCCATGACCTTTGCAGTGGAGACTGGGAACGAAAATGGCGACTGCCTTGGCGGAATTCTCTCCAACGTTTGAGGTAGATTTTCGGCTTTTTGCCTGCAAATTATCCGTCTCAAGTGTACAGTATATCGTATGGACGTTTCCGTGGCGGATGTGTGCCGTTCTTTGAGGAAGGAAATACGTATTTCCTGGCGCTAGCGGGCGGAGTTTGGAGGAGACTGGAAACGAAAAATTATGGCGACTGCAAATGGCGGCGTGGTGCTGGAAAAGACTCCTTGCGTGGTAAGACAACAAATTAGCTCCTTGAATGTACATGTTTGTACTTCTCCAACAAACCTGTAGCAACAGACCCGTTATAATTCGTTATTTTAACCGGTATATTCCGTAGAAATGTGCGTTTTGTGGAACGATATGTCGCACCAAGGAGCTTTCATCTCCTTGTTCGCACACATTTTTGGTGGCCCATTTTGTACTCGAGTATTTTTAATAGGGAGGTTGTTTTCATGACTATCGTGATTTTGGGGAACACTGAATATATTACTTTCGTGTTGAGTGATATTGAAAAAAGCTAGGAGAAAATTTCGCTGCTATAACTGTTACAAACACGTTTTTTGTTGGAAATTTCCACAGTTTGGCCCAGTGAACACCTTTTGGAACATACATGTACCACACGTGTACATAATTAAACCCACTCAATGTTCCCTCCAAAAAAGTCGCGTAAACAAAACTTCCGAAGGCTAAAATTAACTGGGTGCATATGTTTTTACTTCTGAGCACCCAAAATTAAATCTGTGGACAAGTGAAAATAATTTCGGTTTTGTTGCTGGTTTATTCTTGCTTTTTGAATCAGTCTCAGTTTGTCACATTGGTACATGTATTTTACTGGATTTTATACTTAGAAATTGCCAAATTAAATCTGTTATTGATGTATAATTGTATGAACTATGAAGCAGTCACTGTGGTTGCACTGATTTCATTTTGATGATGACCTGTCCAATCTTGGTCCTTATTGTATCATTTATAGTGTGTGTTAGTACTTTGTCTTTCTATTGTTTAATTGTACGCAACTTTGACCGCCATTTTTGTGGCTTATGTATTTTGTTATGTGACAGTGTAGTTTTTGATACAAGTACACAATTCAATAAACAAATCACCATAGAAACCTTTTTCCTTATGGAAGAAAGAATAGGGCGTATTCCCATGACGTCATCACCCATGCCCCCCCCCCCCATCATCTCTTTATTTGAATTTTCTATTTCTGTCCCCAAAACAGCCATTTCTAAATATCCTTGTGACATTGTCACGCATCCGGCGTCAGCATTGAGTGAAAACATTTTACTCTCATCAAACTAAATAACCCTGTCCCCTCCCTCCTTAAGTAAGTTTTACTCTGTGGATGTGTACTTAAAAGAACTTAGCGTAACCCTTGTTTTGGCTACCGAGAGAGTTTTTTGCTGCCGAAAACTCGACCCTAAAGTTGAGCGGCAAAACCGACATTCTGGCGGCGGCGGCCTGTGCAGTCCTTCCCACGCTGATTTTGACCAAGGCTTATGGTGTTCGACCGGAAAGGTCCATTGTTTTTATGGTTGATCTATAGGTTGAACTTGTTTTCGTGAGGACTCGCTAGTCTCTTTGTAAGCCGGCTCAATATTATGTACAAGATGCACTTACTATCCAATCTATTTGCACTTTACTGGTCCCAGACCAACATTCCACCACGAGGCAAAACACATTGATTTTGAAGCAAAAAGTTTTGCTTCATATTTTCCTTTGACTATTTCACATGTTTTCCTTTGACAATTGAATTTCTCTTGAGTAAAATCAGGGTTTTGATGTTGGGACTAAAGTTGAATGTTGTTTATATAAACTTGGTATGTTGTGTGACCTAATTTCTTGCTTGGCCTATTGCTGTATTTCTATACACTGACTTTTGTTTGTCCCATTTTCAAGATGTGGACCCGAAGCCTGGTCTGAGCGGAAGGAAGAACCACACTTTTAATTGCAGAGCTGTGTGAAAGAAGATGGGGAGGTACTTAGACAACACTCCACATGCCTTCAGGTGCACAAACTTACACTTGCATTTCTCTCTTTTGCCCAGTTCAGTCTACATGCCTTTTTTCCGTGAAGAGCCCTTTATTACTTTTGACTTTAACCCGGAGACTTTAATCCTATGTTAGGCGTCACTGAAAAATTCTTCGTATCGTGTAGTTGAAAATGCCAAATTGCCCCAAAATTGTCACTTAAACCTTTTTTTACACTTGTCTGAACATGTGTTTGATTGAAAGTATTCTGCCATAAAATTTGTTGATCAATTTTCCCGCAAAAAAAAACCTAATTGGCACCCTCACCTGGTTAATTAATTAGTTAATGGGGTATAGTTTTGTTGCTGCTTCTGAGATTTGATTCGAAGGCCAATAGCTGTTTCGAATGCACTGACTTTTATTTTTTGTCTTAAAGATGACGTTGTGGATGATCCGGAGACTGGACTGTAGCAGGATGAAGGACCAGACTTTAGCCAGCAGATCTCAACCTGTGTAAAAGAAGAAGATGGGGAGGTGTGAGTATGTTTGCTTTATTAACACAAGACAACACTCCATGTGCACACACTTGCACTCGCATTTCTATATTTTTGTGAGGAGCCATATTGTATAGTTGAATGCCAAATTGTCCCTTTAACTTTTGTACTTAAATTCTCCCCCCAAAAAGCCGGCCGAATCAATTCAAATTTCCATGTTGTCACCCTCTTCATATTGTATGAATGCCACTGTAGAATTTTTGTCACTCTTGAATTCTCCTGCAAAAAAAACTGCCAAATTGCCCCCAAAATGTTCGCTTTAGACCTTTTTTCACACTTTAATTCTCCCGCAAAGAAATGCCAAATTGCCACCAGAATTGTCGCTTTAGACCTTTCTTCACACTTAAATTCTCCCGCAAAAAACTTGTATCTTAGAAGGCCACATTGATTCCACACTCAATAATTGTTAAATCCATTTTCCCGCCAAAAAAAATTGATTGGCACCCTCACCTGGTTAATTAATTGGATTAAAGTTTTCCCGCCAAAAAACTTAGTATATGGCTCACTCCAACCTTGAACTTGTGCCCCCCTCCCCACACTTACCTTCTGTTGCTAGTTCCAACACATTGGACACGTAACTTCTCCAAACATGTAGTCACCACACACTGCTACCCAAACACTTACTAATAGTTGATCGAGCACAGTTTTTTCCGACACTGACTTTAGAATGGTTTCTCGCGCTCTCCTGTTCAGTCAATGCACTAAGTGTACTCCCGGGGGATGTCTTTTCGGAGACATTGATGCTTCGACACATCAGTATACCAGTGCAATTGACCGAACAGGAGAGTAAGAAACCATTCTAAAGTCAGTGGCGGAAAAAACTGTGCTCGATCAACTATTAGTAAGTGTTTGGGTAGCAGAGTGTGGTGACTACATGTTTGGAGAAGTTACGTGTCCAATGTAACTAGCAACAGAAGGTAAGTGTGGGGAGGGGGGCACAAGTTCAAGGTTTGAGTGAGCCATATACTAAGTTTTTTGGCGGGAAAACTTTAATCCAATTAATTAACCAGGTGAGGGTGCCAATCAATTTTTTTTTGCGGAAAAATGAACTTAACAAGGAAAGAGTGTGGAATCGGTGTGGCCTTCTAAGATACGAAGTTTTTTGCGGGAGAATTGGTGTCTAAAGCGACAATTTGGGAGGTTTTTTTGTGGGAGTGAAT